TCAGTTTTCAGCTGTCTGTAGGTACAAAGTTTATTTTTGTGATTAGTGCCTTTTATTGTCATTATGCATTGTTTCTGTGCAGTGTTTTTCAAACATATTTTTTAGTTTTTTTCTAGCTAATGGGATAATACTGGTTTTTTCGCAAACATCACTAATTTCTAAAAGGTTCAGTAATTTTTTTATGCTTGTGGTCCAATTACTGACGTTTTCTTTGTCCAAATTGGTGCCAAGTTTATAGGCCTCAGAGATCAGAGTGTTTTCTTCCATATGTTTTATTTTCAGCCAGTAGTTAATCATACGTTTGATGCTTGAGATGATAAGTGGATATTTTCCCAGTTCAAGTAAACATGCCAAGTTTGTAGCTTTACAGTTTACTTGTAGTAGGTACTTACACATTTTGTGATGTAATTTTTATATGTTATATGTGTGAAGTTTGAATGTAATTTGGTATTAAGGCACACCTGAGATGAAGATCTGAACGAACAGACTAATTGATGCACAGAGGTCAAAATACAATCCTTGTTTTCAGACTTCAACCAAACAGGGACTAAAATAGTGACATTCAATCCTGGAATTCTCACCTAAGCCAGTAGGCAAACTCTAGAGAATAGTTTGCCACTGCGGTGTTCCACAACCAGCTGGATTTGACACAAATATTCTTAGTTGTTCGATCAGCATGGAAAACAGCGACATTGTTTGTGTGGGGAAACCAGAAGAATCGGAAGTGTTCACTTGCAGATAAATGTGTGTCCAAGTCACCCAACACCTAAAACATAGGATAAAGATACGATTATTCATACTATGCAGACAAGGTCACCATAACCTCATTATTCTCAAAGTTAGGGACCTGTACGATGACAGCAAAGTAAATGTGAATGTCCGTTTAGAAATGTTAAACTTGCTACTGTCACAAAATCATGCATAATTCAAATGTACACATGTGAATCAGAATTAATGACAGCATTTTATGAAATTAATGTAATCTATGAGATACAAACTTACATCAAAGACCTCAATGCAAATCATATTGCGATGTAACAAGAGCGTGGCGAAGCCAGGCTTTTTTTTGACCATCAAAAAAGTATTAAGGCTGATAAATAACAAAGAGAAAATTAAACATACGCTGTTTTCTGGTTAAGTCTTGATAATAGATTTGAATACACGGCATACTTCAACCAAGTACATAATCATAAATCTCCATTATCATATACCTTGTATTGCTCGGCCTCATAACGCTATGGGAAGTGCGCCTTCACATCAGGGCAATAATTTCCCGCATCATGACTGTCACAGCGTGCCCGGCTTTCATCATTCAAAACAAAACATGTCATTCTAAATTACGCCGTGTGTTTGAGGTCACACAGTGGTAAAATTGTAATTACACCTATAAGGTATATGAAAAATCCTTTATGAACTGGATACGCCATTTGCTGCCCTTGGTCGTGCGACTTGCATATAATCACAAGCTTGGGCACTTCTGCCGCACAACCTCGGGCTGTAAAAGCTGTATCCAGTCCATAAAGAATAATATACTTTCAAAGGTGGGTCTGTAACAGATGAAATGTCAGGATCAAGGGTTGTGAATTACAATATGGGACTTACCTCTGTTAGTGAACACGATGATTGTCTTTCCCACAGTTTAAATGCAGGTTCACATTGTATGGTAACATGAACAATGACACCCAGAGCACCAATACCACAACAACACGCAAGAAATATATCCTTATTTTCATCGCGTGAACAGCTGATTAATTCCCCTTCTGCAGTCAGCAGATCCACTTTGACAATCTGTAATAAGTAAATAGTTAAATGTAAATGCATTGTGGAGATGCACATACTCAGGTCAGGTCATGTTGTGGTTGTTGGGCCATGCCTTTGAAACACACCAAAAGCATGCAAACAATAATCTAATAGAAAATCAAATTAGTCGACACTTACGGCAGTGGCAAGGCATCCAAACTTGGCTCCGTACCATGTGTACCTGTCGATATCATACCAGCAACTGATAGACCAGATATCGCTCCAAGACTGAAATGAAACAATTTCACATCATATACATTTAGTCATGTGTATCATTATGACAAAAATAATACTATAAAATACTTTTTTTTGGTTGGAATCAATTTTCGCTATTTTCGGTGAGGTAAGGATTCAGTGAAAATAAAATTCAGCGAATATACCTTTTTTCCTATATTTTATTTTAAAGTTGCCAAAAATCAGTGAAAATAAATTCTATACAAAACACCCGAAAAAGTCTTTTCAGCGAAAATTTATTCCAGCTAAAATAAAGTATTTCACAGTACATGTGGATTTGCTGACTCATTGAGACAAGAAAATAATATATCAGTTCCAAAATCTAAAAAAAAACGTTAAATAAAGTATTTTACAGTATTTGGATTTCAATAAAATTCACTGTTGAAATTAATTGAATTCATATAATATTGGATTACTTTTAAGTAAAATGTTTTTTAGATTGAAAAGATAATTAATACAACTTACTTGCTGAGTGCAAGATTGTATACGGGTAATATTTTGGTATTCAAAACTTCAACTTCTAAACCAGATTCTACTGTTACCTGATGAGCATCTTCATTTACCTTAAAACAAAGAATAATTAAATAAAGCTTAGAAACAACTCCTGTGTGCTGAGAAAGAATCAGAGGCATATGATGTAAAATTGTTCTATAGGGAATATTTAAAATTAATTGAAACTTCAAAAAGCTGAGACACTAATACAAATTGGCTATTGAAATATTGAAGATAATAATATTCACAGAAAAATTCTTATTAAAACAAAAAGAATACATTTGATTGTATATCTCTGGTTTGCAATCTAATTTATTCCAGAGTTCACCTATGCAGCATGTTTATTTAAAATCGGATCTTATTTATGCAAATTAGGTAATCATTATGCATTGTTTTCAACCCTAAACTGATCACTTCAAAGGATTACCCCAAGAGCACCGATGTAATCATTGAAATCTGACGAGTTGTTATTGAGATATCTATGGACAAGCTAAGAATATGCTAATTTATGCAAATTTGACAATTAATATACACAGATTTCAACCAAAACATGAACATATAGTCAAAGTGTCATTGAAATAAGATATGATACGATATCAGTGGAAAAACTAAAATTTGGCTTATTATGCAAATTAGTTTAATTAGTAAGCCCGATTTTAATCTGAAACTAAACTAATCAGATTATTAACAGTGAAACTGGGTAACTATGTATCAAGTTTCATTGAAATGTGATGATTGGTTCTTGCGATAATGGTGGAACAGACATACACAAGTAGACTGGCGCACTCGGGGCGATTAATTTGTTTTTGTAGTTTAAATAAAATTAAATAAATTGCGAAATGGAGGTGTTAGCGCAAAATCCCTTGTAATTGCGAAATCACCCCGACTGGTTTATTCTGCATGGCCCTCTATCAACACTGCAGGAACCCGTTGATTTTTCAACGGGTAATTATGTTAATGAGTGTTCTAATTGACAATCATCTGACAATCACAGCGTCTCTTCAACTGACCTCTGACCGAAGAAAGACGTCGGCTGATTGTAGCAGTCGATATTTTTT